TGGTCCTGGTCCGGGTGTTCTCAGGGCCTGCTGGGCCCTTGGTCGCATCAAAGCCTTTTACTGTCTTCTGTCCCTTGGGCTCCTGGACTGAAATCTGATAAGGGCCTCTTTGTTGGACTGTCAGTCTCCTTTATTGAGGAGGAAACTGGAGACCAGAGGCATTTCTTGGGGTACAGATAAGGCTCTGGGTTCCTGTCAGGGAGAGCATGATTAATTACCCTCAATCCTAACTCCCCCTTTGATATCGGTGACTGACGGGCTCACATCCCCTCTGGAGGCAGGGTGGGGGTGGGACTCAGCCAAGCAGTGAGCTCTGCAGTGGGTGTTGGCCTCCCCATGCCCATGCACTGATGTGCTTAGAGGACTGACCTCTCTCAGTGGAGGGGAAGATGAAATGCAGGCCCTTCCTCGCCACCTCCCACCAGTGCCCTGCTCGTGGACTTGAACTCCCAGATCTGACCTTAAGCCACATTTAGGCCCTTCCTTCGCCGGGGAGGCTCCCGCCACTTCTGTGTCAGTCACTGGACACTGTCTTTCTACAGGGGAAGCAAGCTCCTCCCTATGGGAGTAAGCATAGCTATCGTATCTCTCTCCCTCTCTCACGTTTTCATCCGTAGACTCTTGTTAGAAGTGAGTCTTCTAGCCAAACTCCTCATTTTATTTTTTTAATTATTTATGTGTTTTGTTTTTAATGGATTTTGTGGCAGATTTGCACATTAGACTATCAACTCTGCATTTAATAGCACACACTGCTCAATTTAGAGATGGAGAAACTGAGGCCTGACAGTGTCTGTCTCCCCAGCGCCACCCAGCCCCTCCAGCATGAGGCATCGGATCTCTCTCCTGTTCAAGGAAGGAAAGGGGTTTCACCCCTCTGCCTTCAGAGTCGAACGCCCAGGTGAACTCTGTAGGGGGAGACAGACAGTCTGAGGATTCTGCCTCCCTTTGTGTTCCGAGAAGAATCAAAGCCAGGGCACCTTCCTGTGTCTGGAGTGGCCCCGGACAAGGGGGAAAGTCATTCCCTTCAAGAGCTGCCTGCAGGAGGCGACACAGTCCGAAGACACCAGAGGCAGGTGCCGTCACACACAGTACTGCCGCCACGGCCATCTCAAGTCAGGCTGGCCAGGTTTGGGAGTGTGTCCACAAAGAGACCCAGGGTTGACAGTGTCCCGCACCTTACCATGAGGAGTAGCAACTGGGGTCTTAAAAGCACACAAGAAGCCACCTGAGGCAAATCTATTGGTCTCTTCCCTCCTCCGGAGGAAGAAGAGCAACGAAAATGGAAAGACCTGGAAACAGTCCAGTGGATTTCTGTCCGCGTGACCCTAGGACAGAAGTGCTAGGTGGTGCCCAGCTGCTCCTGGAGAGAGTGCGAGAAACAGCAGTGCAAAGTCAGGATCATAGGATCTTGCTGGTCAGGTGGAGACCAGGGGAACCCATGAGACCAGGGCCCCGATCAGCCACTCGAGGGAGAAGGGTGCACCTTGAAAACCAACCCCTTGAGATCACAGAGCAGTGTTTCCCTGAGGACAGGGTCAGCAGGCTGAGGCTGAGGCCGGCCGAGGGAGAAGTGGGATCAGGAAGCCCAGCGAGGAGTGGAATCCGGGATTGCAGAGTGGGGTGGCAGACAATGGCACGAGACAAAATGCATGTGAATTGTGAGGTGGAAAACTGATCTGCCCTCCGAACCTTCATCCAGTTCACAACACAAAGGTTTGCTTTTAAAAAGTGGCTGTTGGCAGTGGCTGCTACTTGCCACTCTGGGCTGAGAGGTCAAGCAGGGTTCCTGGGAGACTGGTCACAGGTGGCCTGTCCTCTCCTCCAAGCATGCTGGGCATGGGTCACTCGTTGGCTGGGCTTACAGCCTTGCCCTCACATGCCCCTTTCACCCTTGTCCCTCGGGTCCCACATCCACCACTCTTTCTCTCACCCCCAAGCATTCTGAGTGTGTGGCGGGCACACCCCATGTGTCCTTGACGTGGCTGCTCTTTTACAAAGCCTGCGTCTGTGCCCGGTCACTCTTCAGAGAACCCGTCACAGCCAGCCGGGCGACTGCCCAGTCATGACTGTTTGCGATTCTTTCTCCGCGGGGCCATTAGAGCCACACTAAGACATTGCCAGCGGTGGTGGCCACACCTCGTCTTCGATCAAGGGCAGTAGAAACTGCCAAGTCACTTCTTCCTGTTTTCTTGACTTTCCTTCTCGTGAAGGACGATCGTGGCTAATTGCAAAATCCACCTCTGAGTTTGAACCTTTACCACCCGTTAACGAGTTTCCAAAGACAAGATCACGAATTCTGAAAACCATTGACCAACAGAGTCCAAAACCGTGTGCTGTGTGGCCCTCCAGATGGCAGTTCCAAAGGCCAGCAAGCCCTTGACTGCTTTCAGCCCTACTGTCTTGGCTAAATATTCGGGAATATCCGTGCTTGGTTCTCCGCCTCCCGCCCTCTTTCCCTGCCTTCCCTGTGGCACCAGGGAAGTCATGCTTCTTACTCAGAACGTTCATTCTTCGGTCCTTCCCCCTTGATGGGATCCACTGGCTGCTCCTCTGTGGGACCAGACCCCGCAGGTCCCTGACCCTCGTCCACTTAGTATGATAGTGGTGCCGATGCCCGCCAGCTCCTGACAGGACCAGGGGCTTCTGTTCCGGCTATCAGCTGTGGACACACGCACAGATTTGAAGTGGGCTTCAGAGTCCCAGGCGGCTTGCCTCCGAGCTGCTCGCTTTGACACCGAGATGCTCTTTGTTTCATCTGCATGCTAAGTTAATTGGTTAAATGCTTGACATCCGCGAAGGAGACAGTCCCTGAGAATGTTCAGACCTGGTGGGGAGCCAGGCCAACATCCGTGGAGCACTCAGCGTGATTGTTGACCTCTGGGGAGTGAGGATTGGGATGCTGAAAGAGGAGCAACCCATGCTAACCACTGGGTACTGCAGAGACAGGCCATTTTAGGCTCAAGGGTTGTTGGAATATGCTTGAAATGTGTCTGACATCATTTGTAAGACTGGGTCAGGGATCTTGGGCAGACAGGCGGGATCTCTGCAGGTTCTGGAACAAGGAGGTGAGTGTGTGTGGAGAGGTATTTGGCAAGGTTGGTGGCGGTGTCTAAATTGCATCTTTGGATAAGAGGCTGTTAGAAGCATCTAATGGTGAGCCAAGCAAGGGCCTGGCTGGGAGGTGACTTAGAAAGGAAGATACTTCTCAAAGCCACCTCAGAGGAAGGCGCTGAGGGACACCTGGCAACCTTGAAGGAGGAGAGAAGCTAGTGCCCTCAGGCCTCAGAACATCGGCACTGCTGGGGACAAACAGCAGCCCAGCATCAGCATTCGGAGCGGGAAGCTCATACCTCACACGCAGGAAGGTTCTGGAACTGTGAGCTTTGGGGGGCGGGTCACTGAGTGGCCTGGCAGGCAAGCTTCCAAATGGAGGTGGGCACTCCTCCCCCCCAAGAGCCGGTTCTGCCCTGGGGCTGTGATCTTGAAGCTGGACTACAGTTTATAGCCAACACTGGAGCGTCCCAGGAACCCTGGTGGCTCTTAAAGCCCAGCTCCACGACCTTCTTGTGCTTGGATGCCACGCTTGGAGCTCTCTGACCCGCACACTTGCAGGAGGCTCTGTCCCCCACAGCATGTTGTGTTCCTTTATAATCGGGGCCAGTGAAGCAGACCTCCAGGCCCCACACACCCATCCGCCAGAGCCTGGGCGCCGGCAGAGGGGAGGGCGGGACAGGGGTGGAGCTGCCTGTGTACAGTAAAGGCAACAAGTCCCAGGCCCTGCCCCGGACGGTGACCCTTCCCTGTGGAATCCTCCCCTCTGACCTCCAGATCATTAATCCTGGGGCTGCCAAATGACAGTCATCCATCACACCGCCTGCCACGCATCCCGGCCGCCGGGAACGGACGCCGGCCCGCCCTCCCTGCTGTCCCCTGGTGCTCATTAGTGGCCCTTCCTGCCTGGTGCCAGGTTTCCTAATCAAGGCCCAGGCTCCGCTCACTCCCTCTGGGGCCAATGGGCGGAAGCGGCTCTGACCCTCCCTCTCTTAAGGGCCAGGGTGTGTGTCGGGGGTGGTGAATTGTGGCTTTTACCCCCCAGAGGCTGGTGTGCCCAGCAGCTCAGTGGACACGATGGAGCATGCAGGGGGTGGTTTTGTAGCAGGGCCAGCGCCAGCCAATGCAGGGAGTAAACGAGGTAGAAGCAGGCAGGGTTCCCATCCACACTCACCCCCCAGAGGCTGGTGTGCCCAGCAGCTCAGTGGACACAATGGAGCATGCAGGGGGTGGTCTCATAGCAGGGCCAGCACCAGCCAATGCAGGGAGTAAACGAGGTAGAAGCAGGCAGGGTTCCCATCCATGGGCACCCGGTGGTTCCACGAAGCAAAGCCTGACAACCTGATTCCATACAGATTCAGCTGAGACAGCTCCAAACACGCGGGCGGGCGCCGTGATCCTCCAGAGTAGCAGCAGCCACTGCCTCTGAGCCAGTTCCCACTCGGTGACCTCATGTAGGGTTTCCAACTCAGGAACAGAAAGCCTCTTCTCTCTCCCGCAGGGTGGGTGGTTAGTTTGAACTGTTGTCCTTGTGGCTAGCCCAGTGCATGACCAGCTGCACTGTCAGGGCTGGGAAGGCAGTAACTAGTGGCACACAGCACCAGCCTGCTGCAAAAGCCTGGGGACGGGCTCCCCAGGCAGGGGTCAGGAAGAGGCAAGGTGGACGGAGGCGGCGGCTTCACGGGCGTTGGAGTTGCCAGATCAGCGGAAACCCAGTGGAATCGTAGCACACCCACACAAAATCTTAGAACCCTACCCCTAGTTGGTCCTCTTCTCAGCAGATAGGAAAGCACACTCAGGTGAAGCGCTGAGCCCAATGAAAATTACGTTTCTGCGCCGATTTGTGGACCTTATGTTCAACTCAGCTGGCAGTGAACAGGCACAGGTGCACCTCCTCTCCTCGTCTGCCCGGCACTCACAGCCATCCCCTTCTTTCTGGACCCCCACAGGGACCCCCATCAACCGGATACCCATCATGGCCAAGCAGACCCTGGACCTGTACATGCTGTATAAGCTGGTGACGGAGAAGGGGGGCCTGGTGGAGATCATCAACAAGAAGATCTGGAGGGAGGTCACCAAGGGCCTCAACCTGCCCACGTCCATCACCAGTGCCGCCTTCACCCTGAGGACCCAGTGAGTGAGCGCGGGCCCGACCTGCCTGGGGAGCGGGGCTGGAGAACAGGGGCGGGTTTGAACCTGGAAGGAAGGAGCAAACTGCCAGCGTACAGCCAGCAGGGTAAGTGGGATTCCTGATGCCGGCACTCTGAGCGAACCTGCCCCCAGTAAGAATGAGAGCTACCAGTGAGCCCAGGCCTCTGGGGGATGGCACGCTTGACCTCCTGTGGCTTCACTGAACCTCCCAGTCAGCCCCCGTGATAAGGTACCATCCGTTTTCTAGGTTAGAGAGCTTTATCCCCGGCTCAGTAAGGCGGCCTGGGCCATACTGTCCGGTAAGTGGAGGGGCTGAGGTTCGGGGGCCCACTCATTTTTCCAGGACACTGTCTCCTGCCCAGTCTGGCCCTCCTCTCTTCGCCTTCTGCCTGCCCAGCAACAGGTGGCCCCGAGGTAGGCAGGCCGGCTGGCCTGGCCCTTTGGGTTCGGTGGCCCATTTTATACCCCTGTTCGAGTTAAGTTACAAAGCCAGGAGAAGCAGGGAGAACCCCAAGTAGCATCAGAGCAGGGGCTGAGGGTCTGCCCGGAACACCCCTCGGTGGTGTGAGGGAGGAGCAGCCTCCATTGCCTGCCCCGCAGCGTGGGGAGGTGGTAGCTCTGGAAGTTGTTCCTGCGGAAGCTGAGAAGTTACGGCCAGAGCGATACCCAGAACACGGTCTCCTCTCCACCCCCGCTCTCGGGGTTCTGGGTGGAGAAGTGGGGCACCTCCAGCTCTCCCATAGAGGGACGAGCCGCCACCTCTAGCTAGCTTCACACAGCGTGGTCAGGAGACCACAGGCCTGGCTCCTCCCTCCTTCAATACGATGTTCCTTATTCCCTTCCAGGGCACAGGCCCCAGCTCCGAGTAGTGTTGAGAATCCAGGAGCAGCTGGAGGCGGCTGGGGCATAGGTTTTCCTCCTGTCCTGGCGGCTGCAGGGCTGCCGTCCTTGACACGCGAAGCCTGCCTGGCAGCTCTCTTCCAGAGATCCCGCAGTGTGTCCTGAGTGTCCTCTGAGGCGCGTCTGGACTGCCTTCCCTGCCTCCTTCCCTTTCCAGGTACATGAAGTACCTGTACGCCTACGAGTGTGAGAAGAAGGCCCTGAGCTCCCCAGCGGAGCTCCAGGCCGCCATCGATGGTAACCGCAGGGAGGGCCGGCGGCCCAGCTACAGTTCCTCACTTTTTGGCTTCTCTCCTGCTGCCGCTACTGCTACTGCGGCCACCGCCGGCGCCCCCACCCTCCTCTCCCCACCCAAGATCCGCTTCCCCATCCTGGGGCTCGGCTCCAGCGGCGGCACCAGTGGCGGTAGCCCTCGGATCCCCCCAGGAGCCACTCTCAGGAAAGGTCAGCAAGGCCCGGGGGGAGGAGGGAGAAGGGAGCCCCCGTCCCGCCAGCATCAGAGGGTGGATCGCTCCAGCAGCTCAGCTTCCCCACAGTTGATGGCGTCCCCGTGACAACAGTGCCCGTGCCGAGTCGCCTGGCTGTGCCCGTGGCCCTGGCAGGCCAGCAGGCTGGGCCCCGGACAGCCGCCCTGGAGCAGCTGCGGGAGCGGCTGGAGTCTGGGGAGGCCCCTGAGAAGAAGGTGTCGCGGCTGTCAGAGGAGGAGCAGCGCTTAGTGCAGCAGGCCTTCCAGCGCAACCTGCTCAGCATGGCGCGGCAGCTGCCCATGAAGGTCCGGATCAATGGCCGCGGTGAGCAGGGCTGGGCGGGCGGGAAGACTGGCCCGGAAGGAGCCCTTCCAGCGCTGCCCTTGTGGCCTCTGTGGTCGCAGAGAATGCAGTTTCAAACGGTGGTCTCTTTTAGAGGACCAGAAATTGCCCCAGGGAGTGCCCTTCTCTAGCAAAAAACAAACCGAAAAGCAATTACTGAAGGGGAAGGCCCAGGAACCTTCAGAGACAGCCGCTGTTGCCCCGCCCACCGGCCTTTTGATGTGTCTCGATTCAATTAGAGGGTTGGGCCTTCGCTCAGCAAGGCCCCAGCCACCATTCCTGAGCCACAGCAGGGGGCCAGACTGCACCAAGAGTCATGGCCTCCCAGGGTTCTGGGTGCTGGTGACCCTGGGAGCAGCAGGACAGGAGGAAAGACGAGTTTAGCATCATAATTGACATCTTTCCCTCTCCCTATTCCCCACACCCATGCCCCCTCACCTTCAGTTTCTGCACATCCAGGAATTGGTGTGTGGCAGGAACCAACTGGGGCTCAAGAGTCCCAGGTGCTTGGTCCCAAGTGGCCCCTCCCTGGCCCCTGACACCCCACAGGCGGGTGAGAGCCTGCAGAAGCTAGGCCAGAGCCAGGAGGTGCTGAGAAGAGCACACAAGGCCTGGTGGGCCAGGCAGAGCCCCTGGCTGACACCACGACACCCCGGGGGCTCCAACAGCGATGAGGGATGGGGAGGCCCAGGCTGGACCAATTGCCAGGGCTGAAGCCCTGTCTCATGGAGGAGCTCCCAGCACAGGGCGGGGTCTGGTCACTGGGAGGCGCCGGCCAGGGCCTGATGCAGAGATAGGAGCCCTAGTGACATAGTGGTCACTCGAGCTGTTAACCATGAGGTCAGCAGTTTGAGCCCACCAGCCGTTCCACAGGAGAGAGAGGGCTTTTCCAAGAGCGACAGCGTGGGACACTCACAGGGTCGCTGTGCATCCGCATTGGCTTCACGGCAGCGAGTTAGGTCGTGGGTGCGGAATGGGTGCTTGGTGACATACACTGGTGTCCGCCCAGCGTCGGGCCCAAGTCGTCTTGGTGCACTGCTTTGCTCCAGGAACAGAACGGGGCCTTGTGGCGGCAGGAAATTGACTGGCGGGGTTCACCTGCGAGGCCTGATGGCCCTGGCCCAGTGTGCCGGGGCAGGGTGGGGGGAGAAATGTGCCAGAGAAGACCACGCCAGCGCTGTGGTGGGTGTGACCAGTCCCAGCCTCCCTTGTCCCAGCAGAAGACAGATCAGAAGGCTCAGCTGCAGCTCTGAACTTGACCCCAAGCACCATTGGGAGCATCAACATGTCTGTGGATATCGACGGCACCACCTATGCAGGTGAGGCACTGGCGCCCCGCTGGTCCTGCCCATCTCCTCTGTGCCCTTCCCCAGGGGGCTCACTGGGACGGCAGGTCTCCTCGCCCCGTGGAAGGAGAGACGCCCTCTGAGCATCCCATAGGACCCGTGTGTGGTGCAGCCATCGAGAGACCTTTCACGTGAGGAACGATGGTTCTGCTTGCCTGTGCCCCTTACTGCCGTGCCCACTGCCCACAGGCCTCGGCCACAGGGCCCTTCCTCTGGCCCCTTTCCTTCATAAAGCATAGCTGTATGCATCATTGGCCGGTTTTCTCTCTCAAACACCCTGAGATCAAGAGGCAGGCAGAGCCGTCTGAGCGGAATACAACCTCCACGGCTTTTATCCCCCGGCCCAGTCCTTGAGCACCATCCCCTCCTAAACCTCAGTGGCAGCACTGCTTTCTGTCTGCTGGTTTTGCCCTTCACCTGGGCTTTGCAAGCCATGCCATCAGTTCTCAGAGGGACCGCCCTCCCCACCCCTGTCTCGCTTGGGACCCACCCGCGGGCTCTGGAAGCACAGTGGCTCAAACAGAGCCCAAGGCCAACCTGGGGCACGGCTGGTGCAGAGGGCGCACGTCTTCAACTACTTCTCCCCTGGAAGCGAGAGCGTTTCCTCGGGAGCCCTCCTGCTTTGAGTGTGTCTGGGTACTGAGCCCCCTAGGGAAGGAGCCCTGGTGGCGGAGTGGGTTGTGTGCTGGCTACTAACTACCCAGCTGGCAGTTTGGATCCACAGCCCCTCTGAGGCAGAAAGATGAGGCTTTCTGCGCCGAGAGGAGTGCCGGCTGTGGCACTCACGGGGGAGGTTCTACTCTGGGAGTCTGGACTGGCTTGCTGGCAGTGAGTATTTAGGAGCTCCCCAGGGGAGGCTCTGGGTAGCAGCGCCAAGGTCTAAGCTCTTCACTGCTGACCAAGAGCCGGTGGTTCAAGGCCATCCTGAGGCACCTTGGGAGTGAGGCCTGGCTCACTGCTTCTGAAAGATCCCGGCCTTGAAAAGCCTGCACTCACGGGCTGGGCTCTCCATGAGTCCAGTCACCTACGGTGGGAGGTTTGGGGACTGTGCACATCTGTGGGGAGAGCACCCAGGTAGGCGCTCCATGCCTGGACCCTGTCATCCTCTCGTCACGGCCCTTGAGGGAGGCAGGGGTGACAGCTCCTTCCCTCAGAAGAGATTTGAGCCAGCCATTGGCCCCCTCTGCCGTCAGCCTCTGCCCACCTCAAGAGCACGATCCCGGGATCCTTCCTACAACTCCTTGCCTCCTCCAGTACAGTACAGTAACCTCCAGACCCCTCACCCTCCTGACCCTGGAACCTCTGAGACCCTCCAGACTTAGAATGCTCCAGGCTCCACACCCCGTGCAGGGCCAGACCTGCCTAGAGGCGGCATCCTCCTGCCTCCCCCGCCACCAGGTACCGGGCCAGCCACCTCCCGGCTGTGTCTGCCCGAGCACACTCAGCCCCTTTTCCTCCCTCAGCCCAAGGCTGGACCGTCCTGAGCCAGCCTTGGCTGCCCTCCTCAACCCAACCACTGCTGTTCCTGCAGCCCCCAGGCTCAGAGCCCTCAGGCACTGCAGCAGCGGCTGGTCTTGGTCAGCCCCTCTGGCCCTGCTGTGTGTCAAGAATATGCAGGCAGGCCAGTGTGTGCCCCACCACCCAGCAATGCTTATCCCCTCCCGCCCCAGGTGTGCTGTTTGCCCAGAAGCCCGTGGTCCACCTCCTCGCAGGACCTGCTCCCCAGAGCGTCGGCAGCAGCGCCAGCAGCAGCAGTTCTCACTGCTCGCCGAGTCCCACCTCCTCCCGGGGCACCCCCGGGGCAGAGCCCTCCACCAGCTGGTCCCTCTGACGGGCAGGCCCAGCTCCCCACTCTGCTCTCCTTTCGAGAGCCAAGGACACTGATGCACAGGATTTACCTCATCTCACGGAGCACACGCCCACCACCGTCTGGCCAGACATGAGGGTTTGCTGGGGCTCCATTCAGGTCCTGCTGTACTTTGGGGGTGGGGAGAGACTGAGGGCGGGACAAGGCAGCGTTGTCCAATCAGGGATTGTTCTGGAGAAGTCGGCAGGGGTCTGTGGGCTGCCAGCTTCCTCCAGGGCTCTCAGGTCACCTCCCATCCCGGGGCACAGTGTATTGACAATCTGTAAGCCAACACAGGCTGGAGGCCCTCTATGACCCTTTCCCTTATTTATTTCCCTTCCCCACTTCTGCCATGAGCCCAGGGTCAGTGGTCTCTCCCCTGCATAGTCCCCCACTTTGCAGCTCTGGCCGGAGGACTGCTAGAGAGCCAAGAGCCTGCCCTTCTCTGCTGAGCTAGGAGGAAGCCCACCCTGGATTTGGCGCCTGGGGGTGCTTCCTCAAATCCGAGTCTTGAAACGGTGCCCAGGGCCACACTCTCTCCCTTTGGCCCCAAGGAAGGGTACAGGAGGCAGGGCTCAGGACTGCCCAGGCCCTGGCACGCATCCTACACTGACCTTCCTCCAACCCTCCCCAACCTCCTGCTGCCCCCTTACCCTGTTGGCCAGCACTCCCCAGGACATCCCTCTTGCCCCTGGGTCACCCTTCTTCTCATGGGGCCATCTGGGCCCCACCTCCCCCACACCTGCTGATGGCAGGCCCATGGAAATACCTCAGATTTGTAATTGATGTTTGAATCTTCAGGAAGCCTTGGCATTTCTGAAAGCCTTTTTGTATGTGTTTTGTTGACATTATTTTTTATTGTGGTTTTTTAATTAAATTTTATCGTTGTTGTAGCACCAAAGAATGAAAGCAGATCACCCCCAAAGCCAAACAGATGGTTTGGTTTCCCAGCACCCCGGCCCTTCCCTGAGACTCCCAACTCGGAGGCAGGGAGGCAGGCAGGAGCCTCGACTCAGGGATCCTAGAGGTGGGAGGCAGGTGGGGTGGCCACAGGCCTGATTGATGAAGACAGTCCTGGACCTGCTTCTTGCCAGAGCAGGGCTTGGCCTGGACCCCTGTGCTTCTCACCTGCCCCAGGTGCCCTGCCCCGCCCCGCCCCAGGGCAGCCTCTCCTGGTGGGGGCAGCTTGTTCTTCCATGGTGGAAGAGCTGGTCATCTCCTGCACAGGCTCACCTCCCTGTCATCTCAGCCTGGCGCGTGCTATAGGGTGTCGTCCCCACCCCAGCCCCCAACGGTATAGACTGTGGTGATTGCAGCCCAGCAGACAGTGAGACCGGCCTGGGAAACCAGAAGCTGGAGCACAAACAGCTACCTCAGCTTGTTAGGCGGTGCCTCCGCTGCCCGCGTGTTCTCGATCCTCCACACCTGCGGTGCACAGGCACGGGCCTGCCGGCAAGCACAAAAACCAGGCAAGGAAAGGCACCTGGGGTCTGCCGCCGGGGACCGGGAGGGACCCGCTTGGAGGTGCCTCAGATATTTGGCCAGTGCATCTTTCTCAGGGGTTTGGTCACGAAGGATGGACTCTTCCCATCCAGAGGACACAGGGACAGTACTGTCTGTCTGGTCATTGCGGTCTCCCCCTACCCCCCAGAAGCTTAGCCAGCCTCCCCTCTGAGCGAGCCCTCGCTGCCCTCCAGGACAGTAACAGAGCACCAGCCAGCCGGTGCCCCAGAAGTGATGGCGTCCTGACCCAGGAGAGGCTTTGCCCATGTGGCAGGCAGATGTGTGAGTGCCCCCAACCTCCCCTCCTCATGTATTCTAACCGGGAAAATGTGATAGCACATGGGTAGCCTAGGCAGTGGATAAATACCTCAGATGTCTTCTGGCAGCAAGTGTCTGTATATGTCGTGGTTATTTTCTATCATACATGTTCTCGAATGTTTATATTTCAATAAACTGCTACCTCTTCACACAAGCGGGCTTCCTGGGCTGTTGTGCACGAGTCTCCTTTGGACAGTGTCAGGGAGTGGGCCACACCAAACGCTCCTCGGAGCCCCAGACGTGGATGAACCTCCTTCCTGCACCTGCCGAGCCCACACCCTTGCCTCAGAGCTGGGCACCAGTCTCTGGAGAGAAGCCAGGGTTTCTCGTGCAGCATGCCTACCGGGATTCCACACGCGAGCTGGAGCTGCTCTTGGTGCACTCTGGAAGGCTTCCCATTTAATCTGGAAGCCTCTGACCACATGTGAACTGGCCAGTGGACAAGTGAAGGAAAGGCTGATCAGCATGGGCACATGGTAGCATCACAGACTGGCCTGGGGGGCCTTGGTCTGTGCCCAAGGGCAGGAGGGGTGGGAAAGATTAAGGGCAAAGGGAAGCCAGGCCAGGGGTGCCAGATGCAGGACTTTGGGCACTGCCCTGTGTGTTCACCAGGGTGTGGGTGGGGAAGGACTTTCCAGAGAGCATCTTTGGCAACTGGGGTCAAGTTAAGGAGTGTGGATACCCTGGGGACACTGCCAGCACAGGCCTAGATCCAGGGTTCCCTCCAGCTTACTCCCATGGAAATAGCCTGGGTTAGGGCCAAGCTGAGTTGAGGTGCTGGGTACTCCTCAGTAGCAGGCTCCTAGGACTGATGGAAACTTGATTGCAACTAGCAGGGTCAGCAGACTGTTTGGGGGGGATCTATTCACACCTTCCTATGGGGTGGGGGCATCGATGAGAGGTGCTGCTGAGGGAGGAGTGGCAGCTGAGGAAGATTCGACTGAACTGGTGACGGCACCAGACTGCAGTCAGTTAGCCCCACTCTGTTCCAAATACTGCAGAGTCCTAGAGAGAGGGTTTCTCAAACTTGACTCCAAAAATTCATCATTAAAAAGAAAAAAATTTTAAAAGTCCCCACAAATTGGGAGGTAATATTTGGAACATGGGGCCCTGGTGGTGGTGTGGTTATGAATTACTCCACGGGAGAAGGGCCGGGCTTTCTGCCCTGGGGAAGAATTCGTCTCAGCCAGTCAGGGTGCAGTGCAGCAACGATGAAACATACAACTTTCCTCTGTTCCTAAATGCTTCTTCCCCAACCACCACTATCATCCCATTTCTACCTTACAAATCTGGCTAGACCAGAGGATGTGCACTGGTACAGATAGGAACTGGGAACACAGGGAATCCGGGACAGATGATCCCTTCAGGACCAGTGGTGTGAGAGGTGATACCAGGAGGGTGGAGGGAAGGTGGGTTGGAAAGGGGCTACCGATTACAAGGATCTACATATATCCTCCCTGGGAGACGGACAACAGAAAAGTGGGTGAAGGGAGACGTTGGACAGTGTAATACATGACGATGATCTATAAATTACCAAGGGTTCATGAGGGAGGTGGGGAAATGAGCTGATAACAAGGGCTTAAGTAGAAAGCAAATTTTTTTAGAATGATGACAACAAATGTGCTTGACAGTGGATGGATGTATGGATTGTGATACGAGCCCCCAGTAAAATGATTTTCTTAAAAAACTGATAAAACAATAAAAATAAAAGATTTTTTAAAAAGAATTCATCTCAGAAATGGACAGGGCCAGCAGTTCTTCCCTGCCCTGTAGGTTTGCTGAGTGGGCATCGACTGCCTGGCAGTGGAGTTTGGGTTTGATTGGTATGGAATGCATCACTAACGGAGTATGAGTTGGCATGCAGTTTTTAAGCGTGTATGAATTGTGCCGGGGGTGGGGTGGTGGTGGTGGGGAGGGGTGAAAAAGGAAGCCAGTCTTGAGAAGGCATTTTTCAGAAGAGGAAGTCCAATGGCTTGACCCAGGTATGGGCAGAGAGGTACACAAGACCCAATAGCACACCGATCTGAAGTGTGAGCCCCCATCACACACCTCATTCACAGATTCGCCAAGAAATAACAGCTGTACCATACCGGGTCGGGGTGAGGACGGAAGATGCTGGTACGGCCACTCTGGCCGCTAACGTAGCCGTTCGGGAACCATTCCGGAGAGCTAGTATTTCGCCGGGTGCTCTTGCGTGGATTCCACTCTCGGGGACCCTGCTATAGGACAGGACAGGAGCCGATCCCTAGGCCCTGACCCCCGCAGAGCTGCTGGACGGTAGGGGCACAGCACTTCCCCTTATAGTCCAGCCCGCAGTGTGGCCCCAAGGACTCCTGCCCTGAGCGCCCCAGGGGAGGCCGGATCACAGCTGGTGGTAAACTCCCTGTAATACCAATTAGCACTGATAGGGAGCAGGTGCTGCGCTAATCGTCCGCGTTTTGCAGGCCAGGGGCTGAGGCACGCAGGGCATGGCTGCCGACGGGACTCTCACTCCCCAGAGGACGGGGTAGAGCTGCCCCTGGGAGTCCCCACCACGTCGGCTTCCAATGCAGACCTTCCGGACCGCACCCCGACACCTAACCACTAGCCGATACGGGGCGATTGGTTTGTTTGCAGATGAAGTGACTCAAGGACAGAAAGGGGAACTTTTTTGAGGTCAAGGCTGGAACGGTACCCTGAAACTGCTCCCCAGAACCCCGCTTCGGAGAGGTGAGCGGCTCTCTCCAGCGAAGCTTTCGCTGGGCAAGTGTCCCCCTCGCCCCATTGGCCACGGTTGGGTCACGTGCCTTCCCTCAGCCAATGAAAGGAGGGAGGCGGGACGACTGACTGTGCTTGGAATAATTGCCGTGGGCGGACGGGGAGAGGGGACCCCCGAAAACACACTGTGCCCTTCTCTCCGGGTTAGAGGCCAGCGGGCTTTTGAACCCGAAAGACAGCAGAAGTGGTGGCTGCGGGGGCTCTGGGAGCTTGGACCCGTCACTGTGGACGAGGGTGACCCGGAATGGGGCGGGGGGGCCCCCAGCAAATCTTGGAGACGAAGGTACAAAGTCGGTCTACAGATTGGATGTGGGCCAGACATGAAGGGTGACTGGCGAGCAGTCTGAGTAGGTGGGCTGTCTGTGTGCCCTGAAATCAAACAGGAGCTCGGGGTGGGCGTGGGGGGCAGGCAGTGGCACACCCCGGCATGGCTGTGCCCCCCGGAGGGCCAGGAGCTGTGTCTCTGTTTGTTGGCAGGTGAGAAACCACTCTGGCCACTGTAACCAGACGGGGCCTCTGAGGTCTGTAGGAGACGCGTGTTTTCTATGCAGTGGGAAGCAGGGCGGTTGAGTTTTCGCAGTTTTGTGGAAAGATGGACATGGCACGCCTGTTCCTAGTCCAGTGATTCCAGGAAGAACCCCCCACCCTCACCCCACCCCCCGGCTCTCGATCAAGCGACTGGGGCTGGGGCTGAGGTCTTGTGAGAACTCAGCTGGCCCTGGGGATGGTTGACTCCCTGGATGTCCGTTTTCTCCACGGCGTTCCAGCGCCTGTGCCAAGCCGTTTCTGTTAAGGCAGCACATGGGGTGGTCCTTAGCAGAGTTGACGGGAGTTGTGAGGGCAAGTGGCCTAGTGGACAGAGCTCTATAGAGGGAGGAAGCACACAGCAGGGAGGGGACTGGATCAGAGGAAAGTTCACCGTTCTGACAGGTCTCTTCACCTGGATCGACAGAAGAAGGGAAGTGAGTGGGCGGAGGAAATAGCAGTTGCCCGCTTTGCCATGAGACCAGGAGAAGTAGATGGTGCCCAGCTATCAGTACTGACCATTTGGATCAAGCTTCGATAGCAGAACCCTGATCAAAAGAGAGAAAAGGCAGGACCGAATTTCAAATTCTCATGGAATCCCAACTTGAGGGGAACATGCCCATTGGTGTATGGGGGCGGGGGGTGTCACCGTGTCACTGAGAGGCACACACACACAGGCATCCGAAGTGGCTGTCGGGAATCCAGTCTGTCTGTGGGCCTCGCTGCTGTATTTTGAGCCCACACAGACAGATCTTAAAGAAGCTCACTGCTCAAGGCAGACAGTTGAGAGGTTTCAGCCAAAGTAATGTGGCCCCTCACGGTCAGCAGCGCCACCAGGCTTGCCGGCAAAGGCCTTGGCACTAGGCTTTAGACTCTTTTGAGTGACGTCTCATTTGCAGATCTGCACGGGCCCCAAGACCCCCACTGGCCACTCCCTGTCCAGCTCTGCTCCTAGCTGCAGGGTCAACCCCCTGGGGAAGGGCCAGTGACTTCATCCACCAAGATCAGACACCTGGTCAATAGTGTGGTGTCAAGACTGTCAGGGGACAAGACGAGGCCTCTTCCCGGGTGCCCTCTATGGCCAGCTCCCTGTGACAGCTCAGAGGCACCCTGACCTTGGGGGCTTAAAGCAGAGCCACAGGGGCCTGCCCTCTCCCCCAGGGAGCCCTTGTCCAGCCTGGCCCCTCTGTGCCAGGACCCCAGGTTACCACAGTGGCTAGGTGCTGACCTCAGTGTTTGGGGCTGCAGCAGGAGGCAGCGGGGCTCTGAATCACAGGCTCCATGCCACCTTCCCTCCCCAGCCCAGGTACTGCCCCTGGCTTCTGGCTTTTTTCAGAGTCCCTCCCCTCTGTGGCTCCTGGGCTGTGACTGAGATCTGTGGACATACCAAGAGAGGGGTGGGGAGGCATCCCAGCATGCCCAGCTCAGGGACCCACTGAAAAACCCACAAATGCCCCAGGGGGACCAACCCTTGGGGGCTTCTCTTGCCACCCCTCCCTCCGACTTGCAGAAGGGAAACCCGGCGAGAGGCTGGGCCTGACTCCAGGGCTCCTGTGCTCTCATTGCTGGAGCCTGCGATGCCAGGGGCCTGGCCAGCTCTTGCTCCCAGGACTCCTTCTGCCTAGAGGTCAGACTCTGGGAGTCTCCCAAGCCCCACCCAAGGGCCCCCAAAGACAGGGTCTCCTGGTCAACATGTGCTGAAGGAGTGACTCAACTCCTGGGCCCCAAGATAGGGATGCCGAAGGGACAGGCCACTGCCCTGGTCACCATCAGCCACACAGTATCCCTAGGAGGTGGGTGCCATCACTGTGCCCATGTTACTCATGAGGAAACCGGGGCGTGGAGACGGCATGGCTTGCTCCCCTAGCTGGT